GCAAGGAAGCAACGGAGCTCAGAGAGCATCATCAACCTCCGAGCGGCACAATTTCTCCCCTCTTGGCTTCCACTGGCAGCTCGGCCGTAACCTTCGCCGGAGACCTGGGCCTCACTTCGCCTCTTCCCTGCCGCCAGGTCAAACAAGGGAAGGCAGCCCTGGGCCTTTGACCCTCTGCCAGTGGGGCAAGATTCCAGGGGGAGGAGGGCAGCCCCACACCCGGCCAAAGGTAGACTCTCCCACGTTTTAATTCTAGAATTGAGCCGCCTTTGCAGGTAGGGAAGCCGGAGGAAATCGGAAGTTTGGCGGGAGGCTCGTCAACGAAGGAAAAGCTGTGCGGGGGGGGTGGGGTGTCCCACTCAACCCCACGATGGACCCCGATAGAGGATTTCACCCTAAAGTGAAGACCCCCTCCGCTTTGTTTGAGGAAAAGGCAGGAATTCCCAGAATGGTAAATCACCTTTCCGTCGCCACAAGAAAAGCTACCCCCGCGACCGATCCCACTCCCGCCGGGGATCAGAGGCCGCGAGAAATAACAGGTAGTCCTCGAGTTACGCCCGCAACAGAGCCCCGCATTCCCGCTGCCCTGCGAAACGTTGGGATTTAAGCGAGTTTCGCCCGCCCACCCCCCGCCCTTTTACGAACCTCCTCGCCGCGGCCATTAAGAGAACCGACTGCCGTCGTTAAGTTAGTCACGCGGTTCTGAAGTGAATCCAGATTCCCCATTGGCTTTGCTGGCCGGGTCACATGACAGGGGAATCACGTGACTCCCGGGGGAAAGGGGGGCGCCGCGACTGACGTCCATGTGAGCCAGCTGTCAAGCGGCTGAATTCGGACCACGTGGCCGTGGGAAGTAAGGTTGAAAAAAAGGTCACTTTTCCCCTTGCTGTTTTTTACGGTCACTAAAATGAACAGTTGTAATTCGAGGACTACCTTGTTTCCCTGAAAATAAGACCTCCGCCGGATAATCAGCCCAATCGGGCTTTTGAGCACATCTGCTAAAATAATCCCTCCCCCCCAAAAAATAACTGCAACACAGCAGCAGCCATGAGGTGACTACGCTCCCCGCCTCCTGCACCCCAAAAACAATAAGATCTCCCCGAAAATAAGGCTTATTTGGGGGGTCAAGAGAAAATAAGACCCTGTCTTATTTTAGGGGGGAAACGGTACAGCTGATTTTACAGGGAAACGGAAGGGGAACCCCTCTTGCCTCCCCCCCCTCCCCGAACTTCACCACCCCGGTGGTCCCTTGCCAAAGCTTACCCAGCCTCCGTTGTCTTGGATCCAGGGGTCCAGGTGTTCGGTCAGGTACGTGGCCATCCAGGTGGCGATCCGCTCCACCAAGCCTCGCATTTCCTTGTCGACGCTTTCCACGCACAGCGCCCCGCCGAAGGAGAAAAAGGCCACAATCCTGCCCCAGTTCACCCCATCGCGGAAAAGTTCGTTCACCACCTGCTCGAAGCTCTGGTAAGCCGTGCCGGGGGTGATGTGGAGCTGCGAGGTCAGGTCGCTAAAAGCCCGCCGGTAGCGCAGTTCGAACTCGTCCCCGGCTTCCCGCAGCGTCTGCCTCACATCCAACTGGGGGCCGTGGTCCAGGGTTTCCAGGAGATCCGAGTGGCCCGCCGCCCCGTTGACCACCGGGCTGGGGCTGGGGTGCCAGGACGGGCTCCCGCCGTTCAGGACGCTGCCCATCTCGCCGGACAGCTCCGTCCGGCTCTCGCCGTCGCCCTCGATCTCGCGCCAGCTGTGCCCCCTCTGCCCAAGCTTGTAGGAGATGAAGTCCACCACCAGGGACCGGTTGCCGCTCGACATTTTCACACCTCTGCAAGCCTCAGTGAGTCCATGGTCTGCAACACCAGCCGTCCTGCTTACCATAGGGGCACGCGGCTCCCTTCCGTGGCGGGCACAGCCATCCCAAGCGCCGGGCACGGAAACTTCGCAGGGGTGGTGAAGAGAAGCGAAAGGGGGGGAGGGAAGAGGGAGAAAAAAAGAGGAAAGTATTAAAGGACCAGCTGCGGACTCGGTGTCCTCCGGGGCGAGCAGCAGGAGCCGCAACGGGGAGGGGGGGCTGAAGAAGACTTCACTGCCCCTTCAGAAAGCTCAAACGTTTGCAAGCGGCAATTCTTGCCTCTCTCCCTCTCTCTCTCATCCGTCCCGTGTAGGGGCTTGCCCAGCAACGCAACCCCGGCTACCGATTCCACACACACTGCAACACACCCGGAGGGTCCCTAATGGGAACCAGATCCCTGTCACCCGGCCAGGCCCCGTGCCTCGCCTCCCGGCCCACCTCCTGGAGCCAAACCAGCTGCGACCGGCGTGCGATGCTGCAGCCTGCCAGGCTGGGAAGCGGCGGAGAGGAGAGCGAACCCAGGAGGTTTCCCCCGTTGCCACTTTGATGGAGTGCTGCGGGTCTGCTGCAGCAGTAAAGCATGGAGACCCCTCCCTCTTCACGCCCCCTGCCTCTCCACCTCCCACCCACCTCCCCCTCCCTCCTCTCCCTGGGATCAAAGCACTTCCTGGTTCTTGAGAGTAGCTGGCTGGCTGGCTAGGGCTTTTTTTTTTCTTTTTTAAAGAGACAAGGGCTGCTGGCGAGGGCTTCCGGCCACCAACAGGGACCAGGGCTGAACTGTGACCCTGATTTCCAGAAGGAGCTGCTCCCAAGAGGTGGAGCAGAGGGACAAAACAGGCCAGGAAATATTTCCAAAGTCAGGAAAGGGGATTAATAACGAGTTTCCAGGCCTGGTGAAGCCAAAACAATCAGAATACAGCTGGAAGGGGCCTTGGAGGTCTTCTAGTCCAGCCCCCTGCTCAAGGAGGAGATCCTATACCGTTTCAGACAGGTGGCTGTCCAGTCTCTTCTTAAAAACCTCCAGGGAGGTTTTTACCCACAACTTCTGGAGGCAAATCATTCCTCTGAATAATTGTCCTCGCTGTCAGAAAAAATTATATTTAATTCCAGGTTGCTTCTCTCCTGGATTAATTTCCATCCAATTCTTTCTTGCCTGGCCTTCTGGGGCTTTGGAAAATAAGTCGAATCCCCCTCTTTGTGCCAGCCCTTCAAATACTGGAGTGCCCCCCCCCCAAGCCCAAATCCACTCAGTTGCAAGGCTGCAAGATTCCCAAGGAGGCTTCGAGCTCAGACCCCCCACACACACTTCCCAGCCTCCTTGCTGTCCCCACGGATGGGCGGCTGCATGGCAACCCCAAGAGCAAAACTTTGGTGTGAAGTTAAATGCAGGCAAAGGGGAGAAAGGAAGAGAGAGAGAGGGGGGGGGGGGAGAAAGAGAGAAAGAAAGAGTGAAAGAGAGAGAAAGAGAAAAAAGAAAGAGAGGGAGAAAGAAAAAAGAGAATAAGAAAAAGCAAAAGAGATATAAAGAGGGAGAATGAAAGAGAGAAAGAGGGAAGAGAGAGAGGAAGAGATAGAGAAGAGAAAGAGTGAAAGAGAGAGAAAAGAGAGAGAGGGAGAAAGAGAGAGAAAAGAAAGAGATAGAAAGAAGAGGGAGAAAGAGAGAAGAGAAAGAGTAAGAGAGAGAAAAAGAGAGAAAAAGAGAGAAAAGAGAAAGAAAGGGAGAGAGAGAGAGAAAAGAGATAGAAAGAAGAAAGGGAGAAAGAAAGAGAGAGAGAGAGGAAGAGGAAGAGAGAAAGAGAGAGAAAAGACAGGAGAAAGAGAGAGAAAAGAAAGGCAGAAAGAGATAGAGAGGGAGAAAGAAAGAGAAGAGAATGAAAGAGAGAGAGAGAGAAAAAGAGAAAATAGAAAGAGAGGGAGAAAGAGAGAAAAGAAAGAGATAGAAAGAAGAGGGAGAAAGGGAGAAAGAGAGAAAGAGAAGAGAAAGAGTGAAAGAGAGAGAAAGAGAGAAAAGAGGAAGAGAAAGAGTGAGTGAGAGAGAGAGAGAGAGAGAGGGAGGGAGAAAGAGAAGAGAAAGCGTGAAAGAGAGAGAGGAAGAGAAAGAGTGAGAGAGAGAAAAGAAGGAGAGAGAAAGAAAAGAGAGGGAGAAGGGAATGCCCGGGTGGGGTGGGGTACAGCCAGCCTCGGAGCCCTAATTCTCGGTCTCCACTGCCGCGGCAGTGAGTCATCCGGTGAGACGCATTCCAAGAAGCGGTGAAGCAAGCAGGGGGCCGGGGCAGGCAACGCACGGAGCCCCCGCGCGGCACAGACACCAACCACCTCCCCAGGAATGGCCAGGGAGGAAAACCACCAGCCGTGCGCCTGGCTACCCTGGCGCTTGCAAAGCCCCTCCAGGACTTCCCGATGGGCTGGCCGGGCTCACTTCCAGGGGTCTGCGAGGGTACTCACCGCCCTGGAAAAGGCAGCAGGGGCTTCAAACAGGGGAAGGGGGGGGGAGATCTCAGCCGAGGGGAGCTCTGCGCGGCGCAGCGAATGTGAGAATCCGGAGGAGGAGGCAGGCAGGCAGGCAGGCGAGCGTTCCAGGCACTGGCTGACCCTCCTTGTCATCCCATTGCCCGCCTACCGGGGAGTCCCGCCCTCCGCCCCCCCCCTCCCAGCGCGTGAGCCGCCCCATCCCCACCCAGGGTTTGCAAGTGTCAAGGCTCGGCCTTGCAAAACCAGGTGAGCCTCCTCCCTGCTCGCTTCCCCTTTGGCAAAGTTTGGGTGGCCGCATGAACCAAAAGGGGGGGAAAAAAGCATGGAGACTTTGGAAAAAGTGCAGAGAAGAGCAGCTAGGATGATTAAAGGAGCGGAGACTTAAAGGTACAGAGGACGGTTACAGGAAGAAAAGGACCGGGGGTGGGTGGAGTGGGGGGGACACAGGATAGCAGCATTCCAGTATTTGAGGGACTGCCCCAAAGAAGAGGGGGTCAATTTATCTTCCAAAGCACCAGAAGGTAGGACAGAAGCAATGGGTGGAAACTAATCAAGGAGAGAAGCAACCTAGAACTAAGGAGAAATTCCCTAACAGTGAGGACAATTAACCGGTGGAACAGCCCACTACCAGAAGTTGTGGCTGCTCCATCACTGGAAGTTTTTAAGAAGAGACTGGACAGCCACTTGTCTGAAATGGTGTAGGATCTCCTGTTTGAGTAGGGGGTTGGACTCTTATTTTAGTCTTATTCTACTCATTCCTATTCTATTCTTTCTAATTCTATTTGTCTTTTATTCTATTCTAGTCTTTTTCTAGTCTTATTCCTATTCTAGTCTTTTTCTAATCTTATTCCTATTCTATTCTAATTCTAGTCTTCTATTCTATTCTATTTTCTATTCTATTCCTATTCTATTTTCTATTCTATTCTATTCTATTCTATATCCTATTCTATATTCTATATTGTATTCTATTCTATATTCTATTTTATTCTATTCTATATTCTATTTTCTATTCTATTCTATTTTCTATTCTATTTTCTATTCTATATTCTATTCTATATTCTATTCTATATTCTATTCTATTTTCCATTCTATTCTATATTCTATTTTATTCTATTCTATTTTATTCTATTCTATATTCTATTCCTATTCTTTTCTATTCTATTTCTATTCTATATTCTATACCTATTCTATTTTATTTTCCATTCTATTCCATTCTATATTCTATTTTATTCTATTCTATATTCTATTCCTATTCTATTTTCTATTCTATTCCTATTATATTCTATATTCTATACCTATTCTATTTTATTTTCCATTCTATTCCATTCTATTCTATTCCATATTCTATTTTATTATATTCTATATTCTATTTTATTATATTCTATATTCTATTT